CAGAAAGTGAACTTGGGTAAATCTGTTGTCTGCTTTAGTAGGAATATCCTTGAGCCTGAAAGTACAGTTTTGGGTGGTATACTTGGCATCGGAGCGTTGGGGGTGACGGATAAGTACTTGGGGCTTCCCTCTTTGATTAGTCGATCCAAGTTGGATACCTTTCGCTTCATGGAGGAGGGGGGTTATCCAATGACTTCAGGGATGGAAACAACGCAGTCTTTCGTGGGAGGTGAAGGAAGTTCTTCTGAAGGCGGTGGAGAATGCTCTTCCTATACATGGGATGTCCTGCTTTTGGTTTCCCGTCACGTTGTGTAGGGATTTGGATAGGCACCTATCTCGGTTTTGGTGGGGGGCTAAACAAGGGGAGCGACGAATTCATTGGTTGGCTTGGAAGGCACTGTGTCTTAGTAAGTTGGAAGGTGGTTAAGTTTTCCGGCGATTTGAGGAGTTTAATCAGGCCCTATTGGGCAAGGTGGCATGGCGACTATTGACGGAACCTAATTCTCTACTAAGCCAAGTCTACAAGGGTAGGTACTATCTCAATTGCTCTTTCCTGGAGGCGAAGACAGGTACATTGCCTTCCTGGGGTGGCGTGGTATTTTACATGGGCGGGAATTTCTCCAACAGGGGCTACGTTGGCAGGTTGGTTCTGGGGTTTCGATTTCTATTTCGGAAGCGGATTGGGTTCCTGCTTTGCACCCACATTCGCATGTTTTAAGACCGTCGGCCATGGGTACTCAAGGGATAGTGGCTGATCTCATTTCCCCAAAGACGCGTTCTTGGGATGTTGATCGATTACGCCATTTCTTTGAGGAAGAAACTGTTTCTCTAATTCGCGTCATTCCTTTACCTACTTTGGCAATCCCTGATAGATTGATATGGCATCATGACTCGTCTGGGGTTTACACGGTTAAATTGGCTTATCACCTCGCTGCCCATCTGCGATGGACTCGGGAAAGGGCCTCTAAGTGTGGAGCTCGTATTTGGGATTCCAATCTGTGGACTAGGGTTTGGGGGGCCAGGTGCCTCCTAAGTTTAGGGCTTTTTTGTGGCAACTTTTGCGTCGTATCTTACCCACTGGGGAAGCGTTATCTACTCAAGAGATGCAGGGTGTGCTTCTCTGTCTGGTTTGTCTTGGTGAGGAAGAGATGTTGGAACATTTATTCTTTGAGTGCAGACTGGCTCGGTAACTGTGGGAGGCCTCTGGGCTTCTTCCACTTCAAGGGTCTTTTCCTGTGGGGTGTACAGAATTATTCTGACGGAGGGTCTTTGAGCGTGAGGATGTCCCTAGTTCGGAACTTCTTGGGTTGGTAGCTCTCTTCTGGCGAATTTGGAAAGCTCAAAACTGGGTGGTTTTTGACTCCACCCTATACTATACCCCGGTTCTGTTGTCTCAACTCACCTCTCAAGGGTCAGAATGGGAGACAGTACCGCAGGGTCAACCTGTAGTTACCCCTATGGTTGTGCATCGGGGAGGGGGTGGGAGTAGGGTGGAGAATGTCCCAGCTGGGACATTCTGGGTATTTTCGGATGGAGTTGTTGCTCGTGGTTCGCATGGGGCAGGGGGGTGGGTGCTACAGGATTCGACAGGCATGGTGCTGGGGGCCTCGGCGAAGATTTACGATGGTGTGGTGGATCCATTCATGGTTGAGTTATTGGCGCTTCGAGATGCCATCAGTTGGTGTGTGTCTTGTGGTATTCAACAAGTGGTTTTTGTGGGGGGATGCGAAAGTGGTACTTGATAAAGTGGCGATTGGAGAAAGTCAAGATCTTCGTGGCGGGGCGATCTTTGAGGAGATTCATTTGTTGCTTCGTTGTCTGCATTGGTTTTCTATCCGCTTTGTAGGACGGTCTGAAAATAGGGTGGCCCATTTGGTGGCTAGAAAAGCCCTCTCGTTGTTTCCTAGTATGGTTGGTTTTGAATTTTTGTCCTGGCTGCGTGGGGCTAGGTGACTCTAGTGTAACTCTTTTCTCTCGGTAATACGAGTTATCTTTCGACAAAAAAAAGACTTTATCCTCCATAGGAAATGATTGTCATAATTAGAGCAAAGACCAACAAAGACAAACAAATAGCAATAACAAATCTTATCGGTGAAGGTTACATGGTATACCCAATGTTGAAGCATTATGCATCCATGGACAACAACAAAAAGAAGCATTATGCATCCATGGACAAATTAGATTCACATGACACCATTATTTTGGACGACTTTGCAACAAAGTATAGTGCAATTTATTTGTCAAAGATGATGAATTTTCTGAAAAAGAATTCAAAACTTTACTGCAATTCAACAATGTTTACAAAGCTACCATCAACAATATATAAAAACAAACTACCGGCTTCTATCATTCGTCATTTTTTCTGTGACCAAACAAAACTATACAATATACATATAGAGATTAAATGATGATGAAAATAAATACTACCTCCTTCTTGTCTTTGCTTAGGGGTTTGTCAAGAACACTAGCCTACTGGCCTATTGCTTGAGTGGCTTACTCTGACCAGTTTTTCAATCTCCCAACTTTTCAGGATTAGTCGATTTCTTTCCCCTAATTTGAAATATATTACTTTAATGGCTGTTATATTTCAATTTTCAGTTGGTTTAAAGTAATAACAAAAAGAGACAAAGTTTGATAAGCTTCCTGTAATTGGCATGGAACATTGAATGAACGAAGAAATTTGAATTGATAAGAGGGAAGTGAAGCGGGACTATGTGTAAGCGACGGTCGCGGCCTTTAAGAAGTTGGAGCGATGGAATACTCAGCGATATGTGCACTGAGGTCACAAAAATAGTATGCAAAAAAATCAGTGGACGTGTGTTCAAGGGATCGGAATCCCCACCGATTCGTGGAGCAGTCGGACAAAATTCAGTTCAAAACATTTGAGTAAGCTCTGGTCCGCGCGACTAAGATTCACGTTGCAACCGAAAGGCTCCAACAACAGGAAATATAAATATCACTTAAAAAATCCACAAATAACCATTTTAAAAAATTAAAAAAACACCACCCTTTCACAAAAAAAACTCTTGGGGGCGCGGTTTTTGCTGAAAACTGTCTGGGGTTGAATCAGTTCGATTGACCACCGGGTGTAGCAGCAGTTAACATGCAAACCGCCTGCCCCAACGATTTACATGATATGTTTTTCCGCTCAATGAACCTAACATAGGTCGAAACTTCAAATGAATTTAACTTTGTGCTCAGGTATCTGATCACAGTGAATTTTTTTTTATTTCGCATAACTTTTCGAGATCTTGCAAGCCTTAAATGCCTTAGGCGGTTTGGTCCCGCCTTCGCCCCGAAAAACATTGTTTGCTACCCCGAACGAGCAATTTTTCGATTTCGCCAAACTTTGGACGACAATAACTTTGTGCCCTGCAATCCGAACATCATGAATTTCTTTTAAACTTCGCATAATTTTTTAAGGACTACAACTTTTACTATGAAGGAATTTTCAAAACAGAAAATATTTTTGGATATACAGAGTTTTGGGAATAACTTTTCCTTTATCTTTCACAAATCTACATACATTCCGAAATTATGGCCATGATAAAAGTTGTAGTCCTTAAAAAGTAAAGCGAAATGAAAAAAATTCACGACGTTCGGAGTATGGAGCACAAAGTTATGGTAATCCAAAGTTTGACGAAATCGAAAATCTGGTCGTTCACGGTAGCAAATTACATTTTTTCGGGATGAAGGCGGGATCAAATAGCCTATGGCGTTTGGGACTTGCAAAATCTCGAAAAGTTATGTGGAATAAAAAAATTGCTACCCCTAGCGGTCAATCGAATCGGTCAGACCACATGCAGTTTTCAGCAAAATCACGCCCCCACGAGGCTTTCGTGTTCCACGCGGTGGGGTGGCGGTTTATGAGAAATTGTGGTATTTTTGGAATTTTTCGGACATGAATGGTATTTTTAGATTTTTTTGTGGTATAGCTAGAAAATTTCCTAATTTAGTTCTAGAAAAATGCTGGGATAACTCTTTTAGTGAAATCACCGGATATATGACAACTACTTCTACTAGAAATTTTTGTTAATGGCAAATATGCAACAACTTTTTTTAAAAGGAGAAACAATGTAACACGTTAAGCAAATCACATATCGACCAAGTACAGGAGAGATCCATAGTTCATAAGTAAGAAATCGGTCTTAACCATCAAGACGCGTTTTGGAGTGAAATGGAGAAGTTATTGTGAGAACTCTGAAGTTAAGCGTGCTCAGTGTAGAGTACAACAAGAATGTGTGATCTTATGAGAAGTCGCCTTGAATTGTACTCCAAATTAAAAATCGTGAGGGTCGAGATCCAAAACAGACAATATTTTAATCGGAAAAAGTTCAGAATGTTACAACAACTTGTAAAATCAGTGGCCAATGATGCAATTAACCAGTTTTTAGAAGCAGGTGAAAGGAACACATCCGGACTTAAGAGCGACGGAGGCGATAACTGAGGGCCATCCGTAACTCTTTTTGAGTTTAGGAAACGTGAATAACCAGAAGAAGAAGCTTCAAGCTTCTGTCCCTCGAACTCTATTCTTCTCCACCGACGGTCGCTGCCGTTATCGCCGGTCGTTTCGCAATTCTTCAATCGATTCACCGGTACGATTCAGCTGCATCTTTAGGGTTTGCACTCCCGCAGTTAGGTTTTCGCCTTATTTAATCCGTTTCCGATTCCCTTCCTGTGAACTCCTGCATATCCGAAACCCTAACACTTCGGTTTTTTCCCACCGATTCGTTTTGCCTTGCTTCCGCACCGCTGGTATTGGGTGGGAGCGGATCGGTAATTTTTTTCAGCGAGCGATGTTTTGAACAGAGTCTAAGCAATATACTGAGACTGTACTTGTGCTTTCCTTCGGATGCTTTTAATCTCTCTGTTCCTACCATATGTTTTTTTACGAGGAAGAAGGTTGCATTTGGAACGTGAATGCATTTTGAATTAGATTGTCTTTTTGTAGAAGGTACAGCCGGTTTGGTCTGTCTTGATTGGATGAAAATTGGAGCACGATGGCTTACACGCAGAAAGGTGCACCTACCAATGGATCTGTTTATGTGTGTAACTTGCCGGAGGGAACTGATGAGGATATGCTGGCAGAGCATTTTGGCACCATTGGGTTGCTAAAGGTAGGGAGTGTCACCAGGTACTATTTGATGTTGCAGTTTCTTTTTTGGATTAAGCATGCTTTCTAGTTATTGCTGTAGTCTCTAGTTGTTTACTCCCTGCCTTTCTAATTGATAGAAAGACAAGCGAACTGGTCGTCCCAAGATATGGTTGTATCGTGACAAAACAACCAATGAGCCGAAGGGGGATGCTACAGTTACTTATGAGGATCCACATGCAGCTCTAGCAGCTGTTGAGTGGTTCAACAACAAGGAGTTTCATGGTAGCATAATTGGAGTCCTTCTGGCAGAGTCTAAGAGCAAAGATGAACAACCATATAATGTTGGGAATGATTCCATTATGCCTGGTGATTTTGGCGGGTTGGACGAAGACGCTAAGGATATGAATGGCGTTGGTGGAAGAGGTAGAGGTGGGGGTGATGCTTCTGCAAAAGCATGGCAACAAGATGGGGACTGGTTGTGTCCCAATACAAGGTCTGTGATGTGACATCGGTGAGCGGCTCTTTCTTTGTCTTTCTTTCGTGCTGGTGCTTCTTTTTACTCTATGATTGCTAATTCTGAAAGTATTTGCTCGTTTTCTGTTTATACAGTAGCTGCTCAAATGTAAATTTTGCATTCCGTGGGGTCTGCAATCGTTGTGGGACTCCTCGACCTTCTGGTGCATCTGGTGGTGGCGGAGGTGCAGGAGGCCGTGGTAGGGGTCGCGGTGGTCCAGATTCTGGGCCTGGGGCACCTGGACGGGGATCTGGTGCCACTTCAAAGCTCTTTGGCCCAAATGATTGGTCTTGTCCGATGTAAGATGTTCTTCGTGTTGTTTTTTTTATATTGACTGATGGTTCAACTTGTGAGATCGGAGTGAATATTGTGTAGTCTATTCTCAATGTCATTCTTTCATCGTTTCTGTTGTCTATCCTTTCCCATGATGGGTATCAATGTGCGGGTGAAAGTTCTGATTGGGATATGAATTTGCACTGGCATTGAAAAGATACTGGAAATGTGTGTTAGATACCCTTGATTTTGCTGTATTGTTGGGAGGAATCAGCATTGCTTGAGTTGACCTTGGGAAGCTCTGGTGTCCTCTTCTTCTATGTGCATTTTTTATGTCAATTAATTCATTCAGCCAGTCAATGCTGTTGCATTTTGGTTGTGCGATTAATGGTTGCCGACATTCCTTGTCTTCTGCTTTGTTGGATTTTCATTTTCTTAAATGATGCTGGAGCTATGTGTTGTGGTTGGTTAGGAATGCTTGGGAGACCCATAACATATTGTCTCAACATAATAGTTACCCACTTTAAGTAGAGTTAATTTTGGACATGAAAATAAGGCTGGGGGAAGGATGTTTGGTAAGCAGTAATACATTATTGTGGTCAGGGGATGATTTTGCTAAAGGAAATCAATTCTCTTGTCTGTAGGTGTTCTAACTATTAACTACTCACTCATATTTTGCCCTTGGGAGATTTATGAGGGATTCTGTAATTTGTCTGGCATTTGACTATGTTGTACTTCCTATCATCTTTGTTTCAGGTGTGCCAATATCAATTGGGCCAAGCGTACTAAGTGCAACATATGCAACACCAACAAACCTGGGCACAATGAGGGCGGTGTTAGGTACTATTAACTGTATTGCGTCTGTTTGATTGTATCAAATGTTGAATTAATTGCTAGTACAAGTTTTTATTATTGAACTGGTTTCTATTAATGTTTTGATGTTAGTGCTTCTATAGGACTTAGTCCTCAATGTGCAATTGTAAAATCATTAAATCACAGGGAAAACTCAAGGAAGTAAACCTGTTCTTTTTTCCCCCATAACATGGAGTTTACCTGTTTATAACTGACCCTATTATATTGTTCTAATATATCTATATCTAAAGTGATAAACAGCATCTTGAAAACTGTGAACAAACAGTGGCCTTTAGATGGTTTTTGGTCATAGGTTATTTGCAGTAGAATATTATTTCTGGTAACTGGAACTGTAAATAGTTAAGCTTCTTAAGGCTGCATACTGGGAGTTCTGGCTTATCATTGTAAGTTAGTTACATAGATACCTTTTATGAAAAATCATTATTGTTGTATCTTTTTTATTTCACTGCCTTGTAGCATTTGTGAATATTGATTGAGTACTACTTTAGGACTGTCTGGTTATGTTCTCAAGGATAATCTAGTTCAAGCATGATAATCACTGGTTTCTGTGGTGTAGGTCTTTTAGTTTGTTTGTTCCTAATACATCAGGCTGTTTACTCCCTAGATTCAAAAATCCACTTGCAGCAAGTTGCATTGACGGTGGCTCTTTACTGCTCGTAGTCCATCCTGCCTCTTGTATTTGCAGCGGTTGGCATGTTGTTTGTTCCTGCCTCCCTATCACTGATTTTTATTCTTGGCACTTGCAGAGGTGGGCGTGCAGGTGGTTATAAAGAACTCGATGAAGAGGAAATAGAGGAAACGAGGCGTCGCCGCAAGGAAGCTGAAGATGTAAGATGAGTTTGTATTCATGGCTTCCTTCTCATATCTGGTTTTAACAAAAGCTATGTGATGGCCTATCAGGATGATGGTGAAATGTATGATGAGTTTGGCAACTTGAAGAAGAAGTTCAGGGTCAAAACTCAACAAGCTGAAGTGGGCAAAGTACTACCAGGAGCTGGGCGTGCTGGGTGGGAGGTCGAGGAACTAGGTGAGTCAGCTTTTCATTGTCGTCTTATCTTGCTCCTTGGTTCTCTTGTTAAGCTTAGTTGTGTTTTATTTGTGTGATGCTCAAGGAAGTGTGTTTTCAGGAACTTTGTTGCAACTAGTTACCTTCCAGATAATGTGCATGCTAGGGTTATAGCTAAAACAGATATGACATCTATGAGAGCTTAAACTGCGTACGTTACGTAAGTAGACTCACCGACTCAGAACCACAGCTACCAGCTTATGTGCCCTATTCAAAGATTGAAGGCATGACTTTTTTATTTTCTTTTGACTGTAAGACTACCCATTTCATAACCCCGTGTAGATGTGAAGGTGCTTTAACTCTATCGAGTAGCTGTGGTTATTCAAATCGGATTTGTTTAAACTGGTGCTGTCATATGGTTTAGTACTTTAGTTGGTTTGATGCATGACTTGTAAGGACCCATTGCAGGGGAGAAAGATGGTAGGGAAAGGAGCCGAGAAAGAGGGAGGGATCGGAACAGCAGCAGGAACAGAGAACGTGACGATAGTGACAGGCGCCGCAGCCGAAGCAGAGAGCGGGATAATAGGGGAAGAGAACGAGATTATGATTATGATCAAGATAGAGAATACGGCCGCGACAGGGACCGTGATCGCGACCGGAATAGGTACCGATACTGACTGAGGAATGGGGAGAGCAGAGGCCCGGGTTTTGTTTTTCTCCCTTTTTCGTCTTGTTCTGGAATTTGCCTTCGGGGGAGATGTGTCAGTTTGTTTATGGAGCTCGTAGTAATTAACACTCTTTTTATGATCGTGAGATCCCGAAGAGGCTCAGCGCGGTGTTATGTTTGAAATTTTGAGCTTGCATGATACACGAACATGTTTTGTGCTCTTGAAAAACCTTCATCTGCTTGTTTCCGGGTTAATTGCATGGTTAGTCAATGGTGACTGAGATTACAAAAACGTTCAAGTTTGATCACTCGAAATATTATTTAAATCTATTGGTGGTACTTCAGTGTATTGAAACAGTTTATGTTTTGTCACTCTTGGAAGTTAACTTTTGCTTACGTAGCGGCGGTCAACTCTAAAAAGTGACTTAAATGTGTGACGTAACAATTTAAAAATAATAAAAATAATTTCTTTAAATTGTCATCTCATTTCCACCTCATTATCACTTTTATTTAAAATAAATAAAAAACCATAATTTCTTCTTATCCCCAATGTCAATATCCCCGTCGGCACCACCACCATCTTCTGGAAGTAATTCCCCGTGAAAAGTGTTGCTGGACAAATCCACAATCTGGATGGGCAGTGGGCGGGTGGCAAGGGCAGCAGTACTGTTGTTATTAGTGGTAGGCAATTCACCGGAGAGGCGATTGTAGCTGAGATTAAGAATTTGGAGGGTGGGCAGAGAAGAGAAGAAGAAGGCATGTGGGATGGCTCCATAGAGGCGATTGTGGGAGAGATTGAGATGAGAGAGGCGGGTGAGGTTGGCGAGAGACGTGGAGAGGGTGCCAACAAGGCCTCTGAAGGGCAGCTCCAAATGGGTCACCCGGCCACTGATTGCATCGCACCCAATTCCTTCCCATCTGCAGCACTCTGCAGAGGACCAATTTAATGGAGGAGATGAGGTGGAGGAGATGTTGGAGAAGAAGGACAGGAGGGAAGCTCGATCAATTGGGTTGCACAGGGTTGGAGGTTGAGCTTGGCATGGAGGAAGCAGAAGCAGAAATTGGATCAGCAGAGTAACCCACAAAACTCCAATCAAAGAAGAAGATGAAAATGGTGGGGATGGACAAGAGGAAGCTGAGAAAGACAGAGAAGCAAGCTTGTCTCTTTTAACTACTCCCATCGTTGTTATTCATTCATTAACAGAAGGATGATGGTAGGCAAGAGGAAAAGAGCTAGAGGAGGAAGAATGTAATTTTATTTATTTAAAATAAAAGTGTTAATGAGATGACAATTTTAAAAAATTTAATTTTATTATTTTTAAATTGCCACGTCACACATTTAACGGTCAACTTTTAGAGTTGACGGCCACGTAAGCAAAAGTTAATGGAGTTGGACGGAGAGTGACTAAACGTGAACGGTTTCAGTAAACTGAAGTACCACCAATGAATTTAAATATTTCGAGTGACCAAATTTGAACGTTTTTTATAATCTTAGTGACCACCCATGCAATTAACCCGCTTGTTTCCGCTTGTTTTGGGCCATATGGTTGGCTGCGAAAAATTGGATGTCGGAATGTTTGCTCAGTTTCATGGAGTGCATGTGTCGGCACGAAAAAGTTAGATTAATCATATTTCTTTAAGAATAAATATAATTTATTAGTCAAACCTTTGAAACTATCTAAATTATTAGTCAAATCTTTTAAATACAAAATATTATTAAATTTTTTTATAATGCATCAAAGTATTAGACATTTAGTTCATTATTGTTAGTTATTTAAGTATTTTTTAGTTAAAATACTAAAATTTTAGAATGTTGACCACCACGTGTTTCAGTATTATATTGCCAAGTCAATATTAATAACAAATACGCTTATAGGAAGTTAACATTTATGCTACTATTTTGTATTATGAAAGATTTGGTAATAATTTGAAAAAATTGACTAATAAATAGTATTTACCCTTCTTTAAAAGTAAAATTAATTGAAAAAAAATGAAGTCATATATCATCTGTACCATAGTGGCAATGGTTGACAATGTATATGATATACCATATGTTATGGAAGTATGCAGTAGTGGTATGAGTATTGAATATAAGGGAGGGGATGGCAACACATTTGATAAGGACAAATTAGTAAAATCGCATCCAATCGCTCTCTCTCCTCTTCCCTTCGCTCTCCCATAATCGCTCTCTCGTGTCGTCGATCCTCAAACATCTGCACGGAATCATCATCGCCTCCAGAGGATCAAGACTGCATCAAAGCACGTCGAGCGCCAGATCCAATATCACTCTCGCTGCCAAAGAGAACAAGTTGGCGCCGACAGCAACGACATTGTTTACAGAGGAAAGCTCGGCGATGGCATGGAGGTCACTCTCTCCAAGAGAACGTCGGAGGGGCCGGAGTAGGCATCCCTAGCTCGAGTTTGAGGCCAGTGTGATGGAGGTCCGGCGTTGAGATGGATTCGATGATATGGTGGTCTTAATTAGTATGGATGGCTTCGTTGTGAATGAGAGATTGATCTTCTATTATTATTGCTTCCGATTTTCCTCCGCCATGGATGTGGATAGCTAGATTGATCCTCCGGTGAGGAGTCGTCGGCAATTAGAGGTGGCAAATGGAATGATGGATTCATGGATCAAATGGATTGTATCCAATGGATTGGTATGGTGGATATTCATGGATTGGATCAAATGAATTGGTGGATTATCCATGAATCCAAATGACATCCTCAACCAATGACCAATATGTAAAATGTGAAAAGTTTATGTACTAAAATGTCATAATAAAAAATTTTAGATACCAAAACGTAATTTTTCGATGATATTTTCGTATAAAAATTAAATTTTTGGTACCAAAATGTTAAATATAAAAAGTATAGATATCAAACCGTAATTTGCCATTTGGATCAAATGGATTGGATTAAGTGGATATTTTTAAAGGGTTGGTGGATTGGATTGAGAATTGCCACCTCTATCCGCAATCGAATTGGAAAGCCCGGATCTGAAAATTCTTGCAGAGCTCATAGATGGATACGTCGGCGGTTTTGCCTAGGGATGGCAATAAAACCCGAACCCACGGGTACCCACCCGACCCAACCCGGTCAACGCGGGTAAAATCCAACACCGGGTTTGGGTTTAAACCTGTTCACTATTCACCGGGTTGGGTTGGGTTTGGGTTTAGGTAAACCCGGCCCATGGGTACCCGCCCACACCCATATAATTAATTTTCTCGTCATATTTAATATTCTAAACAACTAATCTTATTTATGTTTGTGGAGACATGTCTAATTTTTTCTTTCTAATTGTGTAGAATGAATTTGATGTTATCGAGTGGAGATTGAAAACCTTAACTGAAAAGAAGAAGTTTTCAATTAATCAAGTTATTTATGGATAATTTGTGATTTGCTTCAATTTTCTTGAGTTTTCTAGATTGGTGTTGAACAATTTGTATAGTTGATTTGGGATTTGCTTGAATTTTCTAGAATGGAGTTTTATATATGGATAATTTGTATTGAGAGATTGATATTTGACGTTAATTTTGATAAGAACTTGTTATTGTGAATTTTTTACAACAAAAATCCGTGGGTACCCATGAACCCGCGGATACCCAGCGGGTTGGGTTGGGTTTGAGTTTTTCAAACCCAGTGGGTTTTACCCCGAGTTTTTTTCACGGATAAACCCATGGGTTTAGATTTGGGTTTGGCAAAACCCGACCCATTGCCATCCCTAGTTTTGCCTCCGATACCTTTGCCGAATAGCTCCCTTTTGTCCAATTATTAAATTATTAATTATTAGAGCTGGTATAAGGTCGGTTAATGGTATACCGGAACTCGATAAGGGACTGCGGACTACCAAACCAATTTTTGTGTTAGTTAACCAGATAATCGGTTAGGTGGTTATTGGTTATCCGAGTAACCGTGTGTGCGAGGGAGAGGCCTTGCTGCTGCTTTGGCCGAACTCTGCTGCTGCTTTGCTCAAACTCTCCTTTAACACAAAATCAGCAAATTAAGCATCTCATTTGCTCAGCCCATTTGTTCCCTAACGATTAACACACACAAATTCTCAAATTCAGTTTCAATTCAACAAATCTCTAACCTGAAATAGAAGCAAATTTCAATTTAACCTATCCCTAATCTTATTTCAGCCCTCTGGACACCTTCAACAGCAGCGACGATTAGGTGAGTTCGATGTTGCCGTGCCGGCAAGTCTCGAAGAGCGACCAGGGAAGCTTAAAAGAAGACAAGTGGGAATGGCGCGCCATCAATGTTGGATATTTGGTTGATCCGAACTAACCATGTTAAATTAGTTTTTGGTTGGACCAACCAATCGGTTTAGGATTAGACCGAACGAACCGATATTTTAATTCCATGAGGGGACACATCCCTTTGGCCTAGTGGCGGTTGCATTATTTTATGGATAAGGATAGCATTATGGATAAAGACAACCCTTCATATGGATAAGGACAAATCCAGTGCAGTCAAAATCGCGCATTAAAACTTAAAAACTTATGTTTTTATGTATCCAGACCAAAACATTTCAGTTTCTACCTAAAGTCGCTTAGTCACAAAAATTGGTAAAAACATGGGCAAAATCAGTAAAATCGCTTAAAATCGGTAAAATTGCGATCCTAAAGCGTTTTTATACGATTTTGATCCTCTCATAAAAATGTGCTAATTGCCCCAAAATGATGTAATTTTGGAGACATATCAACAAAAAATAAAATAAAAAGGAAAACATGATTCATCAATTGTTCTACAACTAGTGTCGAGATAGAGGCTTCAAATTAGGTTGAAAAGACACCTAATGGTATTCTCAACAGTCGCTGACCTTCTATCAGTCTTCTTCCTTAATCTTCACTTGTGGCTCTTACCTGGGTTACGATAAAAGTTTATGGGTAATTGATCGTATGTAATTATGTAAACTCAAATCAGCTTGCGAGAATTTGGATTCTCAAGCTCGTTTACGGGTTACGATCTACATTTATGAGCTTATTCTTAAAGATGCTATGAGTTTCCTCTACTTTTGAGTCAACACAAATTAGTTTATGTGTTAGATATTACATTTTAATTATGAATTTCATGTAGTTATTCACTTATCTAAAATCTACACACTCACATTTTACATACTATATGTTGTACTTAACATATTTTAGCTATTTTAGAGGGTGCGTCAAAAACTTACACTTTTACGCTTTGATTCTACGTTTTACGATTTTACCCATTTTCTGCTTCTAGGTAGAATCGCGCTTTTAACTGCATTGAGGACAACATTTCATATGGATAGAGGCAACTTTTCATATGGATAAAGACAACCTTTCGTATGGATAAAGACAACCTTTCATGAAACAATCCATGGATCCGGCCCCTATAAATATACGTGTGGGGTGTATGATGCCACATACCATCAAACATATTCTTCTTCTTTCTTCCAAAAATTTATAAGTATGCTTTAGCATTCATGAGCCTAGTTAGAACCTAAAGTTGTGATAGTTTTATCCTCGGGAGAAATTTCCTATAACCCAAGGTTTTGTGGAGGGTGGAAATATTCTTTTCGGAAAGTGAACGTTGTTTATGACTCTATCATAATCCTGGTCACCCAGTCCCCTGCTGTCGTACGTAAGGTTGCCTTTATCTATACGAAATGTTGCCTTTATCCATATGAAAGGTTGTCTCTATCCATATGAAAGGTTGTCATTAAACATATGAAGGGTTACCTTTATCCATAAGGTTATCATTATCCATAAAATAATGCAAACACCACTAGGCCAAAGGGATGTGTCCCTTCATGAAATTACAATATTGGTCACTCCTCATCCGGTATGTCAACTACGACGGCATCACCGTCGATCGCCAGATCGGACAGTGTCACAACGTCCTCTAACGTGATCATGACCTCATCAAACGGTAAATGGAAGGTCGACGTCTCGGGTCGCGACCGCTCTACGAGCGCAGTAATCAAACTCGCATCAGAGTTCATAGTGACCAGGGGCAAAACACTAGACAAGCCAGCCGCTCCGAGATACGGCTGATAACGCTCAGGGTACGTGACTAACATGGTCGTACCTCGAACATGATAAGGTCGATCACCAGCCTATAGTGCACAAAACTTATAATTCAATTTTATTCGTAATAATTCTAATTTCACCTAGTAAATTCTAATCTATCTAATTTCAATTTGATACGTAATTCTATTCTAATTTCAGTACAGTTCAGTTCACCAACTAAAATAATCTAATCTAACTAGCTAATTAACTTTACATGAATAATTATCAAATACTTACGTCGTTTGCCCAAACTGAGTCGATGGGATGTTAGCCCTGTCCCCAAAGAAGTACCGGATCGACTGGAGCTGGATCAATTGTCGCAGGCGGTAGTCTCATCGAATAAAGGTCCATAAGCCTAGGAACTGCAAAAGCAACAAAAATATAAATTAAAAAAAAATGCAAAAAAAAAAACCCACCTGCAGTGATATTCTGGTCGCCGCCCACATATGGTAAACCCGACCCATGGGTACCCGCCCACATACATATAATTAATTTTCTCTGTATATTTAATATTCTATACAACTAATCTTATTTATGTTTATGGAGACATGTCTAATTTTTTCTTTCTAATTGTGTAGAATGAAGTTGATATTATCGAGTGGAGAGTGCGTTAACTTAATTGAAAGGAAGAAGCTTTCAATTAATCATGTATTTATGGATAAACCCCGTGGGTACCCATGAACCCGCGGATACCCAGCGGGTTGGGTTTGAGTTTTTCAAACCCGGTAGGTTTTACCCCGGGTTTTTTTCACGGATAAACCCATGGGTTTGAGTTTGGGTTTGGCAAAATCCGACCCATTGCCATCCACTAGTCGGGTGGCGGGGGCGCTGGAGACTCAGGAGTCAACGCCTCTAACTCGTTTTAAAATTTCAAAACGCAGCCCGCCTTAGTCTCTGACGGCCCCACCTCTAACCCTAAACAAATACACCATTTTTGTGTAAATACTTTTTAAACCGTCGTATTGATGATAAATTAAAAAAAAAATATTTATGTCATTAACGCTCTGAAAATAAATGAACCAAGCCTACACACGAGACGTCTAGACTACAATAATACGGGGATGGGAAACAATCGGGAAGAGCCACGTGAGTGAGAGGAAGGAAAACGACGGCCAGTGATGGAAGAAGGAGTGTGGCCGTCTGAATTCGTGGTCAAAGCTGACTGGGAAAGGAATGAATGAACAAATGTTGGGGCACCGATAAACCCTCCCGCATTGGCGCCAATGCCTCCGCCCAATAAAAATCTTCCCTCTCCTCTACCACCTTTTTTTCTTCTCTGACATATCACGCAAAGTAGTATGCCACGCCATGCCTTCCCACCCCAAAATGTCAAAAAGCCCACCGAATCGCGCCACTTTTTCTGCCCAAAATCGTCATTTCCGCATCGTCTCGAGGACTCCCCCTGCCCCCCCTCTTCCTCGATATATGGACACATCACTCACAACTCTCTCACACCAATCTCCGTCGCTCGCCTTTCCCCCGCCGGAGCAACCGCAATGTCTTCGTTCCGCGTCGTCGTCTTCCTCCTCCTCCTTGCCGTCGCCTCCGCCCACGACTACCACGACGCGCTCCGCAAGAGCATACTCTTCTTCGAAGGCCAGCGCTCCGGCAAGCTCCCTCCCGATCAGCGCGTCAAATGGCGCCGCGATTCCGCATTGCGCGACGGCTCCACCGTCGGGGTTAGTCAGCCAGCCCTCTCTCCCTCTCCCTCTCCCTCTCTACTGCCGCTTTCAATTTTTCGCTCCCCCTGTACTTCCGCATCTCAATTAATTTGAAAGTAAATAAAAAAACAGAGGGATTTGACGGGAGGCTACTACGACGCCGGAGACAACATCAAGTTCGGGTTCCCGATGGCGTTCACCACCACGCTGCTGTCGTGGAGCATCATCGACTTCGGGAGGACCATGGGGCCGGAGCTGAAGAACGCCGTGAAGGCCGTCCGGTGGGCGACGGACTACCTCCTCAAAGTAACGGTCGATCCAGGCGTCGTCTACGTGCAGGTCGGCGACGCCTTCTCCGACCACAACTGCTGGGAGAGGCCGGAGGACATGGACACCCTCCGCACCGTCTACAAAATCGACCGGGACCACCCCGGATCCGACGTGGCAGGCGAAACCGCCGCTGCTCTCGCTGCTGCATCCATCGTTTTCCGGTCACGTGACCCTTCCTACTCCGCACTCCTCCTCAATCGTGCCGTTAGGGTACGTCGCTTTCACACCCCGATCATTGATTCGTTTCGTTTCGTTTCTCGTTCTCCAATCTTCCCCCCCTTTTTACCCACGGAAGGGGTAAAATTAGAAGACGGTAAAATAGTAAATTTTTTTTTTATTGTTACCTAGGTGTTCGAGTTTGCGGATACGCACAGGGGCGCGTACAGTAGCAGCTTGCACGCGGCGGTGTGTCCGTTTTACTGCGACGTCAACGGTTACCAGGACGAGTTGCTTTGGGGGGCGGCTTGGCTACACAAGGCATCCCGGCGGCGGGTGTACAGGGAGTACATTATTAAAAACGAGGTCGTTTTGCACGCCGGAGATACCATCAACGAGTTCGGTTGGGACAACAAGCACGCCGGCATTAACGTCCTCATTTCTAAGGTACTAACTCTTTTCTGTTTACTTACCACTCTGCATGTGGCTAAGAATGTGTTGTTACATCTCATCTTATTTCAATTTACTTTGTGTTTTTAATAATGTTGTAATGTTGGCTTAAAAAAAATTCATTTGTGCATAATCCGACCTTTTGGGCTTGTCTTATGCTGCTGCTCTTAATGTTCTTCCTGTCCTGCTTGTATAATACTTGTTTCTTTGTGTGTTGGTCAGTGTCTACATTTAGTCCTTGTGGTTGTTGTCTAGGGAAACTCTTTTGTGTGTTATTAAATGTTTAGCTATGCAACACCAATCTATATGGATGTCACATGGTGCATAGAAGGTTGGGGACGTGGAGAAATGGGTATCCTATGTGTGTATGTGGGGCCCTTATTATTATTATTCATTATTGTTTGTTCCTTTTTTGGAGTTTTAAATGTTGATTTCAAAGGTTTACACTTGGTGTTAATCGTGTCCTTGATCTGGACATAAAAAAAGCCTAGATCAAAGGCAAGACTCAATTAAGAAAAAACCCTTTGAATTATGAGGCTGGCTGGCTGGCTTTTCATTATTGTTTTTAATGATTTAATGCGATAATAGAATAGATAAGGGGAGTAGTTTTTTTTTCCATGATTGCACATGATTAGCTTGACAAAGTTTTTCCATGATCTTCATGCCATGTGAGCTCGGAGGGGGTACTGTACCGTCTCTACCAATAGAGGGTTTTCTTTTCCTTACTCAATGCCCCTTGTCTCCTTGCGAGAAATAAGCATTCAAAATGTGGACACGTCTCTCCCTCGATGAATGAATTGCAGGGTAACGATAGATCACCGATCGAAAACATGAAAATTCAATTGAATGTTGAAAAAGGGTGCATGAGAATAGCAACTTTTGTGACGCTGCACAGGGACTGGAGACTACCAGGGCTTGTCATCATGCTCGGTTTCTCATTCCAGCAGGTCTTCCCTTCGTTCACCCTATGGAAAAGCAATTACCAAAAGGGTGAATGAATGACCGAAGAAAAGGCCATTTGCCCAATGTGAATCAAAAGTGGGGTTCTTTCAGCCAATTGAGTCTTTTAACATTTTTATTTATGGCTCTCTGTTCGTTGGGTCCCCAAGAGAAATAACTGTGCTACTGACTGCAATGCATGTGCTACCAATAGGGCTTTTTCTGAAACAAGGACGGACTGATTAGGGGGAAAGGATTCTCACTGTGGTGGATTTATGGCTCTTCTTCCCATACTCTTCGACCATTTTTTCGCTTTGTTGTTGTGTTTTCCTCTCTTCCTTTTTTCAACACCATGATATGCGAACTGCCAAGCAAATGGCTTTTGGAAATAGTATTTCAACGTCACATGTAGGGGGAAAGGATTCTTTTCTTGGTTACATTACATGGCAAAAGATAAAAGAAAAAGAAAAACTCTCTATATCGTCTTTTGCGTGCCTGTGTCTGTGTCATACGAATGACAACTTTTTGGGGGTGTGCAATCTAATCTTCTCTGCAATGAATATAAGAAGTAAAGTGGAGTGGGGATAATACAATAATGATAATGCTGTTTTGGGTGGTGTGAACTGAAACAGGAAGTGTTGATGGGAAGAGCAGACTATTTTGAGAATTTCAAGCAGAATGCAGACGGGTTTATCTGTTCTTTATTGCCTGGCATTTCTCATTCTCAAGTTCAATACTCTCCAGGTACACTTCACCCTATACCCCTCGCTAACTAGTTGCTTCTCTCAAAGACTAAACAATAATAAAAAGTTTACTAATGAATGACAGCTATAGAACCATTATCTTGAGAGTGCATGTTCACATGACGTGAATAAATAATAACAGCAAGTAGTAATAAGCACGTGAGTGGCTGAGCTAGAGAATTGAGTGTAGACTGTAGAGCCACACAATCGATTTCTCCATTGGGGTGTATAACTGTAAATCTAAGCTGGATTCATGATCATAAGTTGTTTTTGTTTATACAAACAATATTATCAGGCGGGCTGATCTTCAAGGCCGGCGGGAGCAATATGCAGCATGTAACCTCCTTATCCTTCCTACTTGTGGCTTACTCCAATTATCTCAGCCACTCCAACAAGGCTGTCCCTTGTGGTTCCCACTCTGCTTCCCCTGCTCTCCTCCGCCAGCTCGCCAAACGTCAGGTAATTTACTAATTACATTTTTCCACTCCCAACTTTTGCCCAACGGTTATAGACTGTGCCACTGGAAGTTCAATTGGCCCCCCACGCCACGATGTACAGTCTTTTCGCGGGACCATAGCCGAAATCAGTTAGAAATTAACGGCTATGGTTTTGTCTGTTGGTGAATAGAATACTGCAGAATGTCTGTTCCTCATCAATGAATGACAACTCCCATATCTATCTCTCTGCTGAATCACGTGCCGGGGCATGGGCAACTGCGCAGCGGGAGGAAACGTATTATGTTTTTCTCGGAAACAATACTGACTGACGGTGACGGATCTTTTTTACTTTACTGGCAGGTGGATTACATTCTGGGAGATAACCCGCTGAGGATGTCGTACATGGTGGGCTACGGTGAGCGTTACCCGCAGAGGATCCACCACAGGGGCAGCTCGCTACCCTCAGTTAAGGCCCACCCGGCCCGGATCCATTGCAAAGAAGGCTCACTCTACTTCCTCACCCCGAACCCCAACCCGAACCGGCTCGTTGGAGCTGTGGTTGGTGGGCCCAATGTCACTGATGCTTTCCCCGACTCCAGGCCCTACTTTCAGGAGTCTGAGCCCACTACCTACATCAACGCTCCTTTGGTGGGCCTACTTTCCTACTTCTCAGCCCATTCATGATTCAATCTCTCCCCCTCGCCTCTGCCCAACATCGTTATCGATTTTGCGGTTCCCGCCATCTTATTGTCTACGTTTATTTGTCTTAGTAGCTAGTGGTAGTGGTGTGCGAAAATTGTCACCCTGCCTTCCTTTCCCCACGCAAATCTTCCTTCCTTAGTATTGATATTGTTGCAATATTGCCCTCTTTGTAATTGCTCACGATCCTTCCTAATTCCTACCTTAGAATGTTCAATGAAAAGGGAGAACGTATTGTTGAAAGCCGGGTGTTCACTTATTTCCCAACAATCTCGTATCTTGATTGGACAAAGGATACACGCTATAAATACAATGCAAAATGAATTAGTGATAAATTTTCAATTCAACCTACCAATTCATTAAAAATATCGACCTAATTCAATCTATTTGATCCAAATCTAATTGGATTGGTGGATCCATGGATCCAAATAACAAATTATGATTTGGTACATATACTTTTTATATCTTACATTTTGGTATCCAAAATTTAATTTTTTATACGAAAAATATCATTGGAAATTATATTTTGGTACCTAAATTTTTTCATAATGACATTTTAGTATCTAAACTTTTTACATTTTACATTTTGGTCCAAGGTTGAGGATGTCATTTGGATTCATGGATAATCCACTAATCCACTTGATCCAATCCATGAATCCACTAATCCACTTGATACATGGATCCATCAATCCAATCCACAAATTCATAGATCAATCCATTTGCCACCTCTATTTATCACAAAGATAAAGTATGAAGTATATTACTATGACCCATAATCATAACGGATTGATATGGACATATGGATATGGTAGCCCAACTCCTAAGCTATGCGACTCGTGAATAGCTATCGAGAACAATGGAGAGAGATTCACAAGCTTGTCAACCAACCAAGGCTGGATAATTATGTACAAAGTGAACCTCTATTTATAGAATTAGAAAGTTAGTGCTCTCATTTCCCATATTATCTTGGAAATATAAACACACCTAAAAGGAATAACAAGCTAAATTGTTTGCTGAGCAGCAACATACACGTGTGCTTAACACTAATAAAAGAAAGACAATTAAGTAAAACGTGTTGTTAGAGTATAATGACTTGAGTACTTGAGTGTTATTTTCTGAGTAAGAAAACGAATGCTAAGTGGTGTGCGGTGTGCCAACCCGTGTTACTAATCATTCGAAGTTCTGACACTCCGATAGAGTCATTGTACAACCAGTTAGCAAACAAAGGATCAAGATTGTCCTTAATCAAACTACCTATTGGGAGCAAGTATAAGCCCAATTCCCGTATAGATCACTAGGGAATAATTGTGGACCAAGTGTAATTATCACTTAATAGTTTAATATATAAGGTAAGTCCTATATTGATTAGGTTAATGAAAGGTAAATTCCTAATATACCATGATGGTGGGTCTATATTAGGGCTGGGAAAATAGACCAGACCGTTAGAAAAACCGTGGTCCAAATCTACCGCACAGTTTGGTCTGGACCGTAGACCGTGAAGTATGGTCTGGTCTGGTCCATAATTTGTATTATTTTATGATTTGATCTCTTGGTCTGGTCTGGTCTAGACCGCGGTTTGCCGGACCAAACTGTGGACCCAACTAATTTGTCAATATGTGTTAACAGGCCATTCGACCACTCTCCAAACTCCCACAACGACACCCAAGTCTCAACCTTAATTTTGTGAATCTCTTCCCTCCTTCATTCACAACCACATTTAACCAGAGAGTAGATATAATAGTGTCTCCATATGACATTATGTTAATGTTTATGACGTTATGGTGCAAGCTGAGATGTTTTTACTTTGTATCTTTGTTATGTACTAAGATTTAGAGTATCAAAATTATTCTTGCATGGTAGGATTAATGTTTTAAGGCAAATAACAATGATTTTTCTTGGTTATTGGTTCAATTTTTTGTGTGTTGACTAAACAAATTATTCATTTTTTGTTGAGTGTGGTCTATCTGGACCAGACCAGACCGAACCAGACCGCACAGGCGTGGTCTGGACCGGACCGTATAGTCTGTGGTCTGGGGTCTATACTTTAGCCTCTCGGTATGGACCATAGACCGTATATATGGTCTGGTCTGGACCAGACCGCACCGTTTCCCAGCCCTAGTCTATATAAAGAAACCCTAGGATTGGTCCTCTCTCAACTCATTACGTAGAATTTCTTAGCCGTCACAGAAATCTCTAAAAATGGTTACCTAAAGGGGTCAAGAGGGAGAAACTCAATTCCGGTGATTACTACTCAAGTCGTCGTCGTCGCTCTTGTCATGGATCGAGGTAGGTTTCCTTGATCTATTACCGATTCGTGAAATCATCTAATTCTAAGATCCATGCTATTATGATTTATGATTACATGTGGTGTCAGAGCCTTAGCATTTATATGAATGGATGATTTTCGATTATGTATTATGCTCGATTAGTCTCCGCTGCGTTTATATCAATCGCTTATGCATGATCAAAGCTTGTTGATGCTTCTGATTGATCATCTGTGTATTCTATTGAGTCCACGCGTTCGAGATTTGTACACAGCTGTATTTAACTTCTTTGCGGTTGGTTCTTCTGTCTGTCGAGCAATTATTCGCCGTTTATCAAGAACTTATATATGTGCAGTGCATGTATGTTTATGCTTACATGATATATTGATATGTTTGTTTCAATTATAATTATATGCGATGACAGTATCTTGCCTTCATTTCCTTTTCAACTAAAATCATGATAAAAGCGATTAGGCATGATTACAATTGCTTTTGTATATGCGTTCGATTAATAAAGCCTTATGTTTGTCTCGATGATGATTAATATTGTTTTTCCATTAGTAACAATATGCAATTAGAGACTCAAGTTTTGGGTGTGCGCATTTCAAAGTATTATTAAAAACTGTCTCACCTTAAGTTAAAATTTTACATTCGATATCTACTTTATGATTAATTTGTTAGTCATCAAAGTGGCAAAATCAGAAGGTTTGTAGATATCAAGTTGAATCAAGTTCAACTGCTAATGTTTATGTAATGCTTTTAAGTTGAAGTTCGTGAATTATAAAATATTTTGAATCTCCCAAAGGTTGATTGCTCGTTTTATAATTCATGAACATTATCGTGGTAAATTGATATGCTTGGTTAGATATATTAAGTATATCCAAAGATTGCAAGTATATCTAATTTGAGTATGTCTATCACCAATTATATGATTATTTTGAGCATCAATTACGATTATTTATCGCATATATATTGTTGTTTTGCCCAAAGGTAGGACCAATATATATATTTTATGTTTATGCTTCCGAATCTGTATTATAGTTTATGCTTATTACTCAAGGCATTAATGTGTGAGTACATGTTATATATGTTTGCAGCATCTGTTCCTGTTTCTCTTCATTCGCAAGCCACGTCTGTTGTTAAGTTTAATGACATCAACTTCTTTGAATGGGCTGAACAAGTTCAGTTTCACCTCGGGGTTCTGGATCTTGATTTGACACTCTTAAGTGAGAAACCTGCTGCTCTTACTGATGCTAGCAGTGCTTAGGAAAAGTCTTTCCATAAAGCTTGGGAAAGATCTAACAGACTAAGCCTAATGTTTATGCGAATGACTTTAGCAAACAACATTAAGTAATCTTTCAATGATACTAAAAGTGCTAAGGAATTTATGAATTCATGAAAGAAAGCTCTCAATCTGAGTCTGCTGATAAGTCGCTTGCTAGGACACTGATGGGTACGCTAACCACCATGAAGTTTGATGGTTCTCGTACCATGCATGAGCATGTCGTCGAAATGACGAATATGGCAGCAAGACTAAAGACCATGGGAATGAAAGTGAATGAAAATTTCCTAGTAACGTTCATCCTTAATTCCTTACCTCCAGAGTATGGCACATTCAATGTGTATTACAATACTTTAAAGGATAAATGGAATGTGCATGAGTTACAAAACATGCTCATTCAGGAGGAAGCAAGGCTTAAGAAACCAGGAAATCATTCTGCCAATCTTGTTGGTCATAAAGGAGCTGGAAAGAAACCATGGAACAAGAATGGGAAGGGCAAGGGCAAGGAATGACTATCAAAGCTTAACGAGTCATCTGCCAAAATCCACAAAAAGGAACCAAGTAAGGATATATGCCGCTTCTGTAAGAAAGCCGGACATTATCAGAAAGATTGCTTGAAAAGAAAGGCATGGTTCGAAAGAAAGGGTAAGCCTAGTGCTTTAGTATGTTTCGAATCAAATTTAACTGAGGTTCCTTATAATACTTGGTGGATTGATACTGGTTGTACCATTCATGTTTCCAAAACGATGCAGGGATTCCTTACGACCCAAACCATAAGGCAAAATGAGAAGTTCATCTATATGGGAAACCGAGCCAAAGTTCCAGTTGAAGCTATTGGGACTTATCGTTTGGTTTTATATACTGGTCATCATTTGGACCTTGTCAATACCCTTTATGCTCCTTCTATTTCCCGTAATTTGGTTTCGGTGTCTCAACTAGATAAGGCTGGGTATTTTTGGAACATTGGAAATGGTTCTATTAGTTTGTTCAAACATAATGTTTTATTGGGATCTAGTACCCTTGTTGATGATTTGTACAAACTAAAGCTTGATACCCTATTCGCTGAGACTCTCTTAACCTTGCATCATAATGTTGGTATTAAGCGTGGTTTGTTTGATGAATCCTCTGCTTACTTGTGGCATAAACGTTTGGGTCACATATCCAAAGAAAGAATGGAAAGGTTAGTAAAGAATGAAATCCTTCCTCATTTGGATTTTACTGACCTTGGAATTTGTGTTGAGTGTATTAAAGGAAAACACACAAAACACACACTTAAGAAAGAAGCCACAAGAAGCTCACAGCTCATTGAAATTATACACACTGATATTTGTGGGTCTTTTGATGTTCCATCACTTGGTGGAGAAAAGTATTTCATTAACCTTATCGATGTTTTTTCACGTTATGGATATAACTATTTGCTGCATGAAAAATCTCAGTCGTTAGATACCCTTGAGGTGTTTATCAATGAAGTTGAGAGGCAATTAGAAAGAAAGGTGAAAATTGTCAGATCTGATAGAGGTGGAGAATATTATGGAAAATATGATGAAAGTGGACAGTGCCCTGGTCCATTTGCTAAGTTCCTAGAAAGATGTGGTATTTGTGCTCAATACACTATGCCAGGAACACCGCAACAAAATGGTGTTGCAGAAAGACGGAATCGTACTTTAATGGATATGGTTAGGAGTATGTTAAGCAACTCATCTTTACCCAAATCATTGTGGATGCACGCTTTAAGGACCACTGTGTATTTGTTAAACAGGGTTCCTAGTAAAGCAG